CTCTTGATTTTGACTCATGTCATAATCTCAGTGTCATGGGATCAAGCTCATGCTGAGCTCCATGCTAAGCTCAGAGTCGGCTTGTCCCTCTCCCTCTGCTCCTCCCCACCTCCCCGTTCTCTCTCTCAAATAAAATCTTCAAAGAAGATTAAAAACAATGAAGATAAATATAAAACCAGTAAGTTAGAAGATAGTAGAGCCAACTGACAGATGATTTTTTTTTAAGATTTTTTTTTTATTTATTAGAAAGAGAGAGAGCATGAGTGGACAGAGGGGCAGAGGGAGAGAGAGAGAAGCAGACACCTGCTGAGTGTGGAGCCCAGCATGGGGCTGGATCTCACACCCCAAAACCACAACCTGATCTGAAATCACAGGCTGTATGCTTAACCCACTGAGCCATCCAGGCACCCTAACAAATGCCATTCTTAAAAGAAAGATCTTTATGACAGATAATTTTATAAGTATTATCAGTTACAAAAGAAAGAAATAGAAATAAGTGGTATTTGTTAAATAATATTATATAAAATATAGGTGCAGAGATGATTTAAATATTATAAGTGAACAATAGAAATATGCTATAAGAATATCTCAGGATAAACAAAGGGCAGACAAGGAAAGATTTCTATCTGAAGAATTTCAAGTAATAAATTTTTTTTTAAAAAAATGAGAGAATTATCATTCTATAGTCCATAATGGGGAACAGGTAACCATGGTAAGTAGCAGAGTGTCAGGATACAAAAAGGAAGATACACATACATTACATATCTCCTAATGGAAGTCTAAAGCATCACCTCTGGAGTGGTCTTGCCAAACAGCAAACATTTTGATCAAAAAAACACAAATCTGGGGCAGCCCGGGTGGCTCAGTGGTTTAGCACCGCCTTCAGCCCAGGCGGTGATCCTGGAGACCCGGGATCGAGTCCCATGTCAGGCTCCCTGCATGGAGCCTGCTTCTCCCTCTGCCTGTGTCTCTGCCTCTCTCTCTCTCTCTCTCTCTCTCTCTCTCTCTCTCGTCTTTCATGAATAAATAAAATCTTAAAAAAAAACCCACAAATCTGATCAAGCTTCTAATTGAAATTATTGATGATTGTTATGCTGCCAGGTAAACGGTACATTGTACTGTTTTGTGCAATATACTATATCTTTGAGAATTTCTGTGAAAAATGATTTATTTTAAATGTCATACTTTAAAAATCAAATACTAGGGGCACCCGGGTGGCTCAGTCGGTTAAGCATTTGCCTTCAGCTCAGGTCATGATCCCAGGGTTCTGGGATCAAGCCCCACATTGGGCCCCTTGCTCAATGAGAAACCTGCTTCTCTCTCTTCCTGTACCTGCCGCTCCTCCTGTGCTCTCTCTCTGTTAATAAAGTATTAAAAAAATAAAAATCAAATACTCAAGTGAAAATGCTACCTTTTAGCAAAATGTAAATTACAAAATAGTTCAATAGAAATTGAACATTTTATCAACAAATACAAATCGAAACTATTCCAAAGACACCCTCAAGAAAATTAACAAGGCAGGAAACCACAAATGTTGGAGAGGATGCGGAGGAAAGGGAACCCTCTTACACTGTTGGTGGGAATGTGAACTGGGACAGCCACTCTGGAAAACTGTGTGGAGGTTCCTCAAAGAGTTAAAAATAGACCTGCCCTATGACCCAGCAATTGCACTGTTAGGGATTTACCCCAAAGATTCAGATGCAATGAAACGCCGGGACACCTGCACCCCGATGTTTCTAGCAGCCATGTCCACAATAGCCAAACTGTGGAAGGAGCCTCGGTGCCCATCGAAAGATGAATGGATAAAGAAGATGTGGTTTATGTATACAATGGAATATTCCTCAGCCATTAGAAATGACAAATACCCACCACTTGCTTCAACGTGGATGGAACTGGAGGGTATTATGCTGAGTGAAGTAAGTCAATCGGAGAAGGACACACATTATATGGTCTCATTCATTTGGGGAATATAAATAATAGTGAAAGGGAATATAAGGGAAGGGAGAAGAAATGGGTAGGAAATATCAGAAAGGGAGACAGAACATGAGAGACTCCTAACTCTGGGAAACGAACTAGGGGTGGTGGAAGGGGAGGAGGGCGCGGGGTGGGGGTGAATGGGTGACGGGCACTGAGGGGGGCACTTGACGGGATGAGCACTGGGTGTTATTCTATATGTTGGCAAATTGAACACCAATAAAAATAAATTTATTATTAAAAAAAGACACCCTCAAAATGAAGGAAGAGAAAAATAGACAAGAAGTAGGAAAAAATGTGAAGAGAAATAATATTCAGTGAAAATATGATCATCTGCAAATGCAATTTCACATAACATCAGAAAATCAGGGGCTTTCAAAATCATTCATCACAATCCTTTCCATGCAGAAAGTAAATTTTTAGAACAGAATTTATGTAAAAGGCCAAGTCTGACTGGTGAAGAAAAAGAACAGAGTGTGATTTTTCTGAAATAGCCTGCCACTGGTCCTGGTCCCTGCTTGTCTTATGCTGCATCTTTCCCATTTCACAATAAGTCTGGGGCATGACCAAATCCAAACTGTGTAAGGGTTGCAGTAAGTACACTCAAAGAGTTTGCTGGGATGTGACATTTTTCATGAAGCCTTAAATGAAAGAGAAAGAAGCCAAGAAGAGAATTCCATGAATGAAGACAGACAAATATGGAAACAACCGAAATGCACGTTAAGAGATGAATGGGGGTGCCTGGGTGGCTCATTCGGTTACGTGTTTACCTTTGGCTCAGGTCATGATCCCAAGGTCCTGGGATGGAGCCCCCCATCTCCCTCTCCCTCTATTGCTCCCTTTGCTTGTGCTAACTTGCTCTCTCTCTCTGTCAAATAAATGAATAAAATCTTTAAAATTAAAAAAATGAATGAATAAAAAAGATGTGGTATATATACACAATAGAATATTATTCATCCATGAGAAATGATATCCTGCCATTAGCAACAACATGGATGGACCTTGAGCACATTAAGCAAAGTGAGATAAGTCAGAATGAGAAAGAATAAAACAATATGACAACACTTGTATGCAGAATCTAAAAAAGTCAAACCTGTAAAACACAGAGTAAAATGATATTTATCAAGGGACGGAGGCAGAGGGAAACAAGATTAAGGGTATAAAGTTGCAGCCAGGAATAAATAAGCCGTAGAGCTCTAATGCACAGTATAATAGAGATACTAATACTGTACCATGACTATGCTGGGTAATAAGTAAAACACAGCAATCATTTTACAACATACAAAACAGCAATCATATTACAACATATAAATATATCAAAGTAATATATTGCACACCAGAAATTTCCACAATGTTATATATTTTGAATTTATTCAATAAAAATATTTTTTAAAGTTTTTAAGTGAGGCCGGAGGAGACAAACAACAAAGATAAAGGGAGATCACACAGATGGGCCAGTGCCTACTTTCAGCTCTAAATATCTTCTGAGAGATTTCCTCAGTTCTTCTTCAGGGTTCTAGGGGGATGAGGACATTGGCATGAGAGGCATGACCTGGATTCAACATAAGAATTAATTCCAGGACTGACAAAAGTCAATAGGAGGACGATGAAGAAGGACTGAGAGCAGCCTCTACTTCCAAACGCCCTAGTGCCCACAGCCCTGCACCTGCAGTTGACCCGGAAGAACCTAGGCTGGGGTAACCGGATATCACACTCCCTGACTTCCTCCTCAAGATTGTGGGCCTAGGCCGGATTCCAGCCAAGGCCTGCAGGATTCGATATGAGGGGCGCAACCAAGTCAGCAGAGGGAGGGGTCCCGGGTACTGCTTGGAATCAAGTAAGATAAGGACTGAGAGGCAGCCCCATTGGCGCAGCGGTTTAGCGCCACTTGCAGCCGGGGATGTGATCCTGAAGACCCGGGATAGAATCCCACGTTGGGCTCCTTGCATGGAGCCTGCTTCTCCCTCTGCCTCTCTCTCTGCCTCTCTCTCTGTGTCTTTCATGAATAAATAAATAAAATCTTAAAAAAAAAGAGATAAGGACTGAGGAGACTTCCTACCACAGAAATGAGAGGACTCATTAGACGAGAGCCCCAGTCCAGCTCAGGGAGTCCTCAGACCAGTATGTCAAGCTGACCTGCTATGCACTTCCTCTTTGGCATCTGATTGAGGCAACAGTATTTCTGTGCGAGGCTAAGAGTACCCTGACCATAAACGGCCCCCGAGTGAGTCCTGAGGGGACCATTCACTCCAAACAGTGGTGTACTCACTGAGCCTTGGCCAGTCTGGCAGCCCTGGGAGGCCTTGGGCAGGGGTAGTGGGAAGTGGTGCTGATGGACTTCTGCCTCCAGAGTCTGAGGGAGATGAGAGCTTAGTCTGTGGTAGACAGTGTCCTGTCCAACAAAGGAAAGAGTCTCAGACCCTGCGGGAGACTCCCATAGGAATCCCTGCAAGGACCTCTAGTGAGTTCTCATGTTTCCACTGACCCTGGACAGAGGTTGTGGCACAGCATCAAGCACCTGTGGTCAGCTCTCAATGTCTAGCAGATGAGGTGTCTCCTCACTTCCTTTCTGGGTGTCTCAAACACATGGTACCCTGACTGGAAGGGGGAAAGTCAGATATTAGATGACTGCAGGCACATCAACCAGTATTTGACTAGCACTTGTGAGGATTGTGGGACTGACCACTTGATGGCAGAGGGGCTCCACAGACCCCTTCCCCTGTTGTCAGCCCTTGGTGCCCTGTCAGCCCTTCTGGATGGTAGGCAGAGGCAACTTTTCCTATCCTTTGAGGCTCAGGAAGTTAAAGGATTTATTAAGTCAACAGGAGTCCCAAGATCTGGTAGTCATTGTGTTATGTCTGAAGGGCAAAGTCACTGCATACAAGTGTAGTCCCACACCTCACAGGGAACCCTTGGAAATTCAGCAGCTGAGGCCACTCACATCTTCTTCTTCCTCTTAGGTCGTGATTCCCCATTGCCCCCTTTCCTATCCTCACTCCTATCTATAGCCACTCATAAAAGTCATCATGCCTCAGTGCCCAGAGAATCCACAATGCTTATGTGATCAACGCTTTCAGACCTGTAGTGAGATCCAGGATATGGAAGTTGTACAGGTCTCCAAGGCTCTGGAAGAGACTGGTCTCTCCTCTCATCCTCTGATGCCTGACAATTCAAAGGAGGCTTCTGATGCTGGTGTACCCAGTACCACTGAGAGTCCTCAGAGTGTCTGCTCATCTCCCATTGCCATCACAACCACTTCATCAAATAAATTAAATGAGGGCTCCAGTAGCCAAGAAGAGGAGGATGCCACCTCGTGGGCTGGACCAGACCCCAAGAATATGCCCATAGATGCTCTAGATAAGAAAGTGAATTCATTGGTCAATTTTATGCTATTCAAGTATCAAATAAAAGAGCCAATGACAAAGGCAGATATGAAGATTGTCATCAAAGAGCATGAGGACCACTTCACTGAAACCTTCCTGAGAGCCTCTGAGCATATGGAGATGGTCTTTGGCCTTGATGTGAAGAGAGTGGATACCACCAACCACTGCTATGGCCTCTTCATCAAATTGGGCCTCACCTATGATGGGGTGATGAAAGGTGAAGAGGGCATGCCCAAGACCAGCATCCTGATACTTATCCTGGGTGTGATCTTCATGAAGGGCAACATTGCCACTGAAGAGGAAGTCTAGGAAGTTCTGAACTTGACGGGGATATTTTCTGGGAGGAAGCACAGCATCTTTGGGGAGCCCAAGAAACTCATGACCAAAGAGTTGGTGAAGGAAAAGTACCTGGAGTACCGGCAGGTGGCCAACAGTGATTCTGTACAGTTTGAATTCCTGTGGGGTCCGAGAGCCTACGCTGAAACCACCAAGATGAAAGTCCTGGAGTTTCTGGCCAGGGTTCATGGGACTGACCCAAGTTCTTTCCCATCTCAGTATGAGGAGGCTTTGCAAGATGAAGAAGAAAGAAAGAGCCCAGGCCAGAATTTCTGCATGATCTGTCTCTACTTCTGTGGCCACTGAAATTCTAGTGCCAAATCCATCGATTTCTCTTGCTCCTAGTGAAGACTGAGGCAGGTTCTTCACTTTGTGTTTGAAAAAGGTCAGCTAGTGTTCATAGAATTTAGGTCTGAGGTTGGGCTGAAAGGAATACAGTATATATGTCTATGTGTTCCTATGTTCTATGTGTAACTTGAAAATTTATTTTTTTAATATATGTATTTGTCGAAATATTGTTTCTTTTGATATAGATTCAGTTAGCTTCATAATCTCCAAGTGTATCAAAGATATTAGTCATACATTTAATGTTATAATGAGATTTAATAGTAAGAGTTTTTTTATTTTGTTAAACTAATTGTGAAACCATCTTATTTTGTCATCTGAAATAACACAACATGGAATTCCTATAGATATTTACTGGAAATGTGAGAGTGATCAGCTTTAAGGTGGTTGGGTTCAGGATGCCTGGGTGGCTCAGTGGTTGAGCGTCTGCCTTTGGCTCAGGGTGTGATCCTGGGATCTGGGATGAGTCCCACATTAAGCTCCCTGCAGGGGGCCCTGCTTCTCTCTCTGCCTCTGTCTCTGCCTCTCTCTCTATGTGTCTCTCATGAATAAATAAATAAATATTTAAAAGAAAAAAAGATGGTTGGATTCAAGAAATACAGAACAAAAGATTGTCAAACTTATGGCTATCTTATACCTTTTACATATTTGTTTTATAAAATTCAATTATATATGCTTAACTTGCTTATGAATATATTAAAAATAAAACTCAATAAAATTAGACCCCATCCTCATTGTTCCTTTTATTCCCCACACCTTCATTGAACATTTGCTCTTTAGTAATCACCGCATTCGTCTTGGAAATTATAGCATTAACAATACCTACAAACTGCACTTATAATTTTTACTTCTAGGATCAGGAATCCTATAATTATAGTGGGATACCTTCTAATATCTAAGAGGCAAGTAAAAGAAGGAGTTAGCAGATATGTGGGGGTGTTCCATATGAGATTGTCAAACCTAAATGCCCTGGGACAACGAAGTTTGGGGTTGAGGAAGCTGGAATTCCTGTAGTGAGTGTTAATCTTTAACTTAATTTTAGATTTAGGGCAAGCTGAGCTTGAGGGGGTGGTGATCAGCCATCAGACCTTCAGATAGTGTGTCTCAGAGTTCAGATCCCAAAACTTGGAGTGGAAAACTGTTCTTTTTAGTAACTTAGGGGGCATGGTCTAAAAAAAGAGAAATCTCCATTGGAACAGGAATGGAAATTGTTTTGTGACATTATCCCTGTGCCATTGAACATAATTCACAAATAAATTCTTATACACATAGTCTTTAAAGAGTTTTCAGAGATAACAGTGATACTTTATTGAGAAGAGATGCCAAGAAGCCATTGGTTTGACTTTTGCTGCCTTGGCCTGGGAAAGCCAGAGACTACTCCATTTAAGGCATATTTTAAATAAGCTACTTTCAATGTAATTTGGCATAGTCTAAGAAATACTTATATTTTTATGAGTGTGGAAATTAATGAGAGTAGGAGTGATTTGAATGGAACAGAAGCTAAGCAGGCAAGTAATGGTCCTTGTCACAAATTCTAAAAATTTTGAATTGCATCCAGATGGAGAAATTCCCTGTTTCTTTTTAAGATTTTATTTATTTATTTATTTATTTATTTATTTATTTATTTAAGGGGGAGGGGAGGAGCAGGAGGGAAGGGAAGAGGGGAAAGAATCCCAAGCAGACTCCATGCTGAGCAAAGAGCCTGACCTGGGGCTCAACCCCATGACCTGTGCCAAAACCAAGAGTTGGACACTCAACTGACTGAGCCATGCAGGTGCCCCAGAAATTTCCTCTTATTAAAGAACACAACCTCAGAAGGGATATATTTACTGAGATTTACTTGCTAAGCAGTGTTTTGGTCGATCTGATATTCCATGGCCTGTTGTACTTTGTCTTCTTTGAGACATACTGGATTTTTAGATATCATGTAGGTGAGGTTGGTTGGGTCAGTGGTCAAAATAATGACAATAACAACTGTCATTCATTAAAGACGTAAGTTATGCCAGGCACTGCAACAGGTGCCTTACATTTATTATACTCTCTTTTTCTTTTAGAAATATCCTGTTGGTACTTTATTTATTTAAGTCATCTCTACACCCAATGTAGGGCTCAAACTCATAACTCTGAGATCAAGTCACACGCTCCACCGATTGAGCCAACTAGGTGCCCCTATTGCACTTTTTTAAACAGTCCAATTTGACAAGGCTTATCAGACTCCCTCTTTAGATGAAGAGCCTAAGATTCACAAATCTTGACAATGTGCCCAAGTCCACAGGTCTGGTATGTGACAGAGATGAGGCTAAACTTGTGGTCTGAATTCTTTTAGAGCCCATGTTGTTTCATTCCTCCAGCCTGAGGCCCATATTTTGTCTCTAGATTCATTTCTTTTCTCACTACTTCATGTTGCCTGTTAGGATAAAAAAAAAAAAAAAGACCTTGAATCCGAAGTACTAAAAACATATGTAAAGAAGAAAGATGAAAATGATAATCAAATACAATTTGGGAATTGTCTATGGGCTTCATTTACCCAGGGTCCTGCTGCCTTTGACCCCAGGGTTCCTTAAGAACTGACTGCCCAGGGGCTAGACTTTTTGTCCAGTGTCATCTCTTTTGTGTATGGGGCTTCAAAATACATCACCCCAGAATATACCACTTGGGCATACTGGTTATTTTTAATTAAAGGTACTTGAGAAACAGCTGGTACAGGAGGTACACTCACTCCAACCTTCCTTTATTTCCTTAAAAATAGGAGATAAATATCCCACGTGAAAGATGCCCTCACTGTACCAGGAGGGTAGAAGGCATCTTTATCACCAGAGACAGGAAATTTGGGGCCAAGAAGGCTGAATAAATAAACCTTGTTAATTCTTTACCATTTACTACCCTTAGCCCAAACCTCTTTGCCCTGTCAATTCTTCACAGAGTTAATATTTGTCTAAAAGGTATAAAAGCTTTCTGCTTTGGTCACCTCTTTGAGTCTCACATCTTTATGGGGCTCCCATATATGTATATGTATGTAATTATATTTTTCTCCTTTTAATATGCCTTTTTATTACAGGGGGTTTCTCAGACAAGCACCTGAGGTGTAGAGGATAAATTATTTTTCCTTCCATACTTGTGCATTATAGTACCATTCCCTGGGTGTTCTCCAGGGTATTGTCTTGGCCAAATTGGAACCTGAATCTGTTGACCAGCTCTTTACTGGATCCTCCTCTGATGTCTGCAGCCCACTCCCAGTTGAATAGCCCAGAATCACTTGCCCTTTCCCTGGCCTAGAGTATTTGAGTTTCCTGGCAATCTCATCCCTCACCATGGAACCTAGCAATATTCCATTCTATGTAAAGGGTCATTTTAACAATGAAACTGTCATCATCATTTCACATTCCCAAATGATTTCCAAATGATCTGATGAGCATAGTCTGATTTGGCAAAGAATCTACTAGTTTGGGTGCTATATGTGCAAGAGATGGGATTTTGATATTTGTAGTAGAATTTTTATGGGATTTATTATTTGAGAATAAGGAAAAAAACTCCCATTTCTTCAATGATAGTTTTCAATTAAATTTGGATGTAGGGCAAGATGAGGCTGGAGGGTGATGGTGAGGGGGTTGAAAGGGCTCCTTGATTCATAAACCAAAGAGTGAGCTTAACTTGGTTGTTAAAAACCAAAGTGTTGGGATCCCTGGGTGGCGCAGCGGTTTGGCGCCTGCCTTTGGCCCAGGGAGCGATCCTGGAGACGCAGGGCTCCCAGTGCATGGAGCCTGCTTCTCCCTCTGCCTGTGTCTCTGCCTCTCTCTCTCTCTCTGTGTGTGTGTGACTATCATAAATAAAAAAAAATAAAATAAATAAATAAAACAAAATGTTGGGCAGCCCCGGTGGCGCAGCGCTCTAGTGCTGCCTGCAGCCCTGGGTGTGATCCTGGGGACCCGGGGTCGAGTCCCGCATCAGGCTTCCAGCATGAAGCCTGCTTCTTCCCCTCTGCCTGTGTCTCTGCCTCTCTCTCTGAATAAATAAATAAATAAATCTTTAAAAAAAAAAACAAACCAAAGTGTTTTGTATAAGTGATAGATGAGGAAAGACTATTGAAATAACTAAGTAAGCAAACTCCTGCAGTGTCTCAATTTCTGTAAATTCTGGAGAACTAGGAGGTAGAATATAGGTTCCTTGGAATTACCTTTAGATAATAAATAATAGAGATAAATAGATGATAGATAAATAGATCATAGGGATAGATAGATAATAGAAAGAACTTTGGTTTTCAGTGTGCACAATTGCATTTGTGCTGATGTCTAGACATATTCATTCAGGCGGCGATAGATAGCAGAGAATCATAAGGTAAAGTTTTGTCAATGCACCAAGAATAAGGAGAAAATTCTCAGTGTACTGTGATCATATTTGTTATTGAAAAGGACAGTGTGTAATAGTTCTTTTGCAAAAGTGAAAGATGGCAAACACTTCCTGCAAAGACTGACAAGGTCCTTTTGAAAAATATATGTGACTCTATATTGGGAAGCACCTGTTACTTAGTAAGATCTCACAAAGTTGGAGAATTGCCAGGAACACTTTGCCTTCTAAGAAACTCTATTAGGAAATGAAGAGGGTAGTTGATGTAACAAATTCTAATGGTTGCTCTTTGCTAGGCCCCTACTATGTAAGAGTTTATGGTGGAGACTACAAATGCTCATCTGCAACTTGTCTTCTTTCCTGGGTACATGGGAAGACTACATTGTTCAGTTCACTTATAGTTAGAAAGGATCTTATGACCAGCCCTTGCAACTGAAATATGAAGGGAAATGATGTTTGTCACAGGCCAAGGCATTTGAGAGCCAGGATGCCACCATAATGTCTTTTCTTCCATTCAGCAGCAAACATGGGGACCGTATGTTGAGTTATGGAAGCAGGATGGAAGCAGCTTAGATCTCTGTGTTACCTGGTAGCAAACATTTCCTGCCAAGTCAATC